ATTTTGATCACGTAGTATGTATTGTTAGTGTCCGCCTGGAGGGTATGTTTCCCTCTAAGCCACTCTCCCTCTTGGCAGAGGTATACCAACTTTTTATTTAAAAATGCAAAAGGAGAGCTGAGTAGTTTATGCTGTCTGGGTACATCAATGACGTACTCTGTTAAGGGGAGGTTGTTGGACCCAATGAATTTTCCGCTCCAATTTAAATTACTATCATGTGTGTTGAGTGAATGTAGTGTACCACCATGGTTGTGGTCCCTTTCCCTCTGCATGTAGTACCTCTTCGCGTTGTTTCTTCTATAGGCAGTCTCAGAGGGAAGGAGCGAATCATCTGTCTCTTTTGAGTCCGCCACATGGTAATCACCTTGTGTGGTTATGAGGATGTTAGGGAACTTTTTTTTTACGCAAACTTTTGAAGACAAAATTGGTACTTGATCATTGTGCATGGAATTTAATCTGAACAGGGACATGTGATGTTGCTGCGGAAGGCTTAACAAAGTGTTCTCATTCCTGTTGATGGTGTTACAGAATGGGGTCAGTGCATTTGTCTCCTTTCCTTCGTCCTTGGGGCACACTCTCCACGTCTCCCGAGGGGAGTTTACACTGTCCTTTCCCTCCAGTAGAAAAGTGTCTCCCCCGTCTGAACTTCTTCCCCCGCTGTGGACCATCTTCGATGAGAGCAGCAAAGACATGTTATTAAAAACCCAGTTGCGAATTGCAAAGTGGTCAATGTCATGTTGGTACTTTGCCAGATTCAGAAATCTTTCCCTGTCGTTAAGGAAGTAGAGGACCCGACATTTTTCATCCCCTTCTGCCTGCTTGATGTGTCGGCGGAGGTACAGATACATGTACACGTCGAGCAGGTGGGTCGTTTTATGATCGTCGTTGTCGCTGTCCTCGTGGCCGTTATCACCATCATCGTGACCCCCCCCTGCGCGCAGCAAAAATGAAAGGACCACTCTTTCCCTTTTATTGCTTAAAAAAAAAACAGCCACTTCTTCCAGCAAGTCACTAGCGCTATATATGCAGCCATCTCCGCATGCGCAAAGAAGATCACTTGTTCCTTCCTCCGTTCCGCACTGCTCGAGAATAACCATTTCGAGGTAGCGGACTCCTAAACATAGTCGTTCATATATGATCCCCTTAGTTTGACATGAAACGAAATTATTTTCACATTTTTGTGGGTCCTTTCGGTTAAGCAGCTCCTCCCCCCCTGCTGTGTTGTGTATTCCGTGAATGTACAAGATTGACCCTTTCCCTTTTTTCCTCTCAGACAGGGCGGACATCCATTGCTGCAGGTGGACCACCCGTTGGTTCGTATTCGCCCCCTCTGCGTCTTCTCCCTTTTTGGTGTACTCCATCCCCATTCAGTTTGGAGGCTCTAATTGGTGTTCCTATTATTCGCTCCACTCGGCTTGCATTTGATGCTCCTTGCCCCTTCATTCGCGTGTCTCAATGTACGTGCGCGCACGCATATATATACATATATATATGTATGTACATGTGAGGGATTAACTTTTATTTTATTTTTTCTCCTTTTTGCAACCTTCCAGTGGGTGTACCTTTTTTGCGGCTTTCCGTGTTTTTTCAAATGTTTCGATTTGGAGCAATTTGCGCGGCGGTTGCGGGGGTGTGTATGATCAGGATAAATCTCTTTCCCGTCCTCATGCGGGGGGAGAAAAAAAAAAAAAAAAAAAAAAAAACACACACAAACAAGTGCAACTTCGTAAAGTGCAACTAAATAATACACCTGCTCACAAATGGAAAGACACTTATAATGAGCACTTCACGAAGCCCATGTCAAATGGCCTCCGATTTAAAGTTGAGGAACACCCCCAAGCGCAGTGACTGGGAGGGGGGATGGAAGACGCATACGCAAGTTCGAATTTGTAAGAGGGGGAAAAAAAAAAAAAGGTATTCACATATATAGGGGGACAAAAAAAAAGGAACAACAAACAAGAAACATTCGCAGAAGTTCATCTCGGGTAACCCATTTGAAGCATCCTGATGGTGGGAAAAAAAAAAAAAAAAAAAAAAAAAAGGAAAAACTTCCCTTTCACGCTCGTGTATACTTGTCACTTGGTCCATCCCCGTGACACTCCAATTAGGGGTCTCCATTTGCTTTTCCATACTGCGGGGGGTCGGCTTCCATCTGAGATTCTTCTAAGGGGTTCTCCACGTCAGGCTTGGGGCAACATGGAGTTGCTTCCATCGGGGGCGGCATTGACCATCTTTGCTCACTGCTCACTCCATTATCACCTGGTTCTCCAATACACGGTTCGATCGGTACGTCTCCTCTGTTCTGTTCGCTCCCCTCTTCAGCGCCGCTCACACACGTTGCGACATCGGACAGAATCAAAAAGTCTTCAATGTCCTTGTCATGGAAACTGTATGAGTCTTCATGCTTGTGATAAATGTTAATGTACTTTTTATTAATGCTGCTCTTCTTGGAGGTTTTCATTCTTTTGTGGCTTTCTTTATCCGGTGAGAGGTTCCCCACAGGCGAATTTTCTTCACTCACGGGGGAAGCACGAATGGAAGCGGCACGAATGGCTTCGGCCCACTGTTCGTCCTCCTCCAGATCGTCATCCCAATTCTGTCCAGCTGCGCAATGTTGATGATCTCCCTCGAGTGGGTAATCGGGGTTGTTCCCCTCTAATGGGTACTCCCCAGTATTTTCACCCGCGTGGCATGGCTCGTAGCCTCCTTCGAGTAAACCATCGCGATTGTTCTCCGATGCTATGCAGTCCTGGTTACCCCTTTCCAGTGGGGAATCCGCCACAGGATCTTCCACATTATCCACCTGCACATGCTCAGACCCGACGTCTTCCTCCTCATCGAGCGACATCCCAACCTGATCATTCTCAAACGAGCTGATCACACCACTCGAGACCGAGTCTATAATTAAAAAATTTGGCAGGGTGTACATATTTTCGTCTCCTTCACCATAAAGTAATTTTCCTCTGTTTTCTTCATTAAAAAATATCAAGTTCCACGTTTTTTTTATAATTTTTAAAAAAGAATTTTCATCAATTTCTTTTTTGTGGCTGACAAGGAAGTCTCTGCTATTCTTATCGTCACTCCACCGCTTGCAGCAATTTTTTAGTTTCCTCCTCGTCGCCATATTCTCCCTGTAGTACTCTTCCCCCTTGCTCTCCGCGGCTAGGTGGTTCGAGTCGAATTTGTTTAAGCAATCCATTGGGCTAACAAAAAAGTAAGAAGCAAAAAAGGGAGAAGCAAAAATAAGGGTAAACAATTGGTAGTCTTTACACCATGCATGAATTCCTTTTTCCTTCCTTTTAAGTTGTGAGAAAAAAAAAAAAAATTGCTAAGATGTAACATCAAACTGGTAGGGAACCCAAAAAAAAAA